TAAGGATGTTGCAATTAAGTGAAAGTGTGCAGTTAAGTGAAATGTTTATATTATGGATATGTTTGGCGCATGTTAGTCTTTTGCCAAAGAGAACGGCCGGTATTTAACAGTATCAGAGTTTGGGATGAGTTCATAAATTAAGGAAACAGTTGGTGGTCGTCGTTGTTTGAGGGTGAAGAATGCGTTGAATTTGGATTCATTTTTTTACCCCCCATTCAGAGTACTAAGGGAAGAGTAAGTTAAGATTATCTTGTATTGAAACTAACACAGGTTCAGGTTTCAAGTTTGTGGAGAAAATTACTTTTTTATCAGTATATTCAGTGACTTGGGTGTTAATAAGGTGTGTGGGTTGGTCTGAAGTATGATATAAATCGTATAGCGTTGGAGACGATATTGCTCCCTGAGAGACGTCAGCTTAAATTGAATAGATTCTATAGAGTTCTGTACCTGGTCTGACTGCTAAGCATTATTTGTTTATATATGATTCGAAAAACAAATAATATGATGGAGGAAGCGTGGTTTTTAGTTTAAGTAAGAGTCCTGARTTTTAGACCTTGTCGAATCTTTGCAAGACATCTAAAAATGTGGCTGTGTATTGTTTTTTTCAGTAAGCAGGAGATTTTGTCAGCAAATCTGTGTATTTGGTGAATTGTAGAATGGTTGTCACGAAAGCCKAATCATTCATTCGAAATGAAATTATTATATTTGAGCATGTGGTATATTATGTATTCTTTTAAAAATTAGATTTTCGCACAGTTTAGAAAAAGTGGGAGTAAGCTAATTAGTCTATAAGTATAAGGTTGTCAGTGGGTTTATTTTTTTTTTTTTGGAAAAATGATTATTATACAGAACATCCATTAAATAGGTAATTGTTATTAGGGCACAGTGTAGAGTGATTAAGATAGTGTTTTTTAGATATGGGGCTTATATTATACTGTGAATGGAAATGGAAGACAATTGGGGACTCTATGATTATTGTCACAAATCCGTGGGTGGGGCCGTCAAGGTGGTTTGTGTGGAGTATTTTGTAGCCAGGTTGATACATATTTGGTTAGTTTGTAAAGTGAGTTTCAGAAATCGATGCGTYTATCTTGTCAAGTTATTAGTAGTTAAACATGAGAATAATTTTTGCGACAATTGGCGTTCCATAATATGATGAAGAGTGATTTAGACGTTGATGAGTTATTTATTGTAATTTTGTGAAATGAGCTTAATGGACTGTTGTAAATATAGAGAGAARGGGGTTGATAATTGCCTAAAATTAATTTAAAAAGTCTGCAAACATAGTCACTTGATTCATTTGGTTTGGGTTGTGGATGGGTGGTGGTTCGAAGTTGGCTGCAACAGTGGCATAGGTGTCCGGTGGAAATTTGGTGAGGTGGTTTTGGCCTTATGTGCTGTCGCTTGGAGATTAACATTAGGTTGAGTATAGTTTTGAGGTGGTTGGTTAGCTATAGATTTTGGATTTCTAAGTTTTGAAGTTTTTTATGTAATTGGCAGTCTTTGTAACTGGCTGGATGGCTTAACCTTCGCATAATGCACACTTCGTAGGAGAGACACGTGGTTTTGAACAAGATGAGGAGGGTGATAGGCTACTCAACGACGCATCTGAAGAGGTATGCGCAATATGTCTTCGAATGTCTGTGCTCTTGGCAGTTCTGGAATTGAATAAGAAAATGGCGGTTGTAGGATTCTTCAATTTTTAGTTTTGTGTGAATTAATTTGAACATTTTGAACACAATATATCTGTGCATGATTGTGTTCGTCTAAAATTACGTATTTCGTATTTGCATACAATAGCAATGAAAACTATTTAATTGAAAACCCGCAAGTTGAATACAAATAATATCAAGGACAGTCTGTATTTTGACATCAAACGAACATCTAATCATTGATACAAAGACACACAAAACGAAAACGTACCTATAAGTGTAAAATATATATTTTGTACGTGTGTTCATGTTCTTTGATTTCCCTACGGATAGATTCAAAGCTTAAACAAACAAAATATACCGTGATAAAATAAAGGTAATAGTCATAATATTAGTGGCATAACCTTTCTATTCCTGACATTTCATTTGATAATGTATGTATAGCAAATTAATTAATGTTTCCTTGTGAAGCTATATATGCCTACTGTACCGTTTTCAATAATAGTTATATACGTTTTATATAGTATTATTCGTTGAGACTCGGAGTGTTTGTTGTTTATTGTTCAACCCCTATAGATTAATACTGGGTGACTCATACATGAATATTTTTTTGTTTATAGTTATGTCGTTATRCCAGTGGCGGATTTAGCGTCAGGCAAAGTAGGCAGTTGCCTAGGGCGGCAAATTTTTAGGGGCGGCAATTTTAGGCCAATATTTTATTGAAAATATACTCTAGGTTTCTTTTTGATTTTCTTATGTACGGTGATTACTTTGAAGGATGGAAAATGAAAATGTTTAATATTTGTATAACACAATATTATTGTTAATATAATTTCTTCATTATTTTATAATACTAATACATAACAATAAACGTCCAAGTAAATAATCGAATGACTGCCAGAACGTATATTATCTATTATCTAAATACTAACCATAGATTACATATTTCGTTATTTTGTTTTTTTACTAASTCGTAATGGGGCGGCAAAAAAAAATTTGTCTAGGGGCGGCAATTGTGTAAATCCGTCTCTGCGTTATACGTTTACCATTGGTTACAGAACATGATAAATTACTTTAAATTATAATAATGAATTAGTCGAAATATGGTATAGGTATAGGTAAAAAGGTTTACAAATAAATTAAAATAATTTTTAAATCAAATATCTAACAAAATATTGTAATAATTACTTTTAAGATTTAATTTCTTAACCCTGGATACATTTTTTGTGTAAAAATGTATTATACATTTTTGATAAACTATTATCGTAAACAATAATAATAACCTTAACAATAATTTATCTATTTTGACTTTTAAGTATTCGTACTGTGTATTGTAACGGTTACACATAACTGTGTTTGTTTTGTTATAATTTATTATATTAAACTGAAACAAATCGAAAAACTATATAGAGAGATAAATTCATTTTAATTCAAGCAAAGTCTTTAACACGGCTAGTTTATTATATACAAATTATAACAATTATGTTAATATTATAATATAAAAATTCATATTTATGGAAAATTCAGACCTACGCTACCGTTCAAGGATTATACGSTATTTKGTCAGAAATGAAGGGGAGCTAAAAACCCCGAGGCCCACGACCCACGCATGTATTAAGGAGTCATTATGTTCCACATATACATATTATATCAAGTGGTCACTTATATTTTTTATAGTTAAAAATTTCAAAATCTTAGACAAACTAAATGGAATGCAAACTTTATTACTTTACTATATATTTCGGAGTTCAGTAGTTATTCCGTAGTAATTCCGTACTTATTCAAAACACACCCACTGAGTCGTTGTCAAATCGTATATAAATCAGTTTAGATAAAACACTTAAAAATGTCCAGTATACCTATCCATGCAGAATTATGTAGCTRAAGTAAATAATATTTACTTATTTGAAAATAATGGACAATTTTCAACTCAAATTCTAAAACATCATAACCAATAGTCAATTATAATACCTTTACGAGGTACTTAGGTCAAAATGATTGAAGTTCGAAAAATCAAACAGCAGTCGAAAAAAATATTGGAAATTCTATGGTTAATTATCCAAACTCCAAAATATTCTTAACACGTTAGACATAAGACATAGGAAGCAAAAATATTTTAGTTGTTTAAAAATAATTTTTATTATATCTATTGTTTATATACCCATGTTCTATACTAGTTAATTATTGTATAGATATCTTAATTTTCATTATAGCTGCATTATTGATTATTGACTACTGTTATTTTTAATCTAATATTATAAAAGTAAAATTAAGACCGTGATACTGTCCGGGCAATTATTTGTTGTGCAACTAAATGATTTATTAACTTTCATAATTATTTTGACTTTGATTTTTATAGTCGAAGTTCGTAACTCGTTGAACAATATAAAGAGTTAATATTGATTATTGTTTTTATTTATAAATCATTATCATTTATAACATTCGTCTTTACTCGTTAGTCATTACCCAACGTCTGATAAGTATTCGGTGTTATTAGTTTTACCTATTGCTTATTGCAATAGTTGTTTCGTTTGAGTTCGATTTCACGCTGAATTGTTCACTTATGACTAAAAAGTTTGGTTAGGCAATTGAATGATTCAGTTTGAGTGAACATATTTTTGAGTTCGACCCACATAATACAAAAAAAAAAAGCTAAAATAAAATGTACAATGTACATATCAATATTAGAATATTATTTAAATATCTATTCAATGGTCCATACAAGTTTTTAAAATTCCATCCTGATTTACCAAATAAATTGGGTAGGTATTGTAAAACGCAAGTGAATTTTAAATTTAATATAACTTATATTGAGTTGTTTATGTGCTATATGCAACTATCGACATTATTGACTTTTATTTTTATTCAACAATTCCACTTCAGCTTGAGTTAATTTCAAAATTACAGAACTTGAGAAACATGACAGTGGAATTAATTTTATTTTACGGAGTAACAACTAATAAGACGAAACGTTGTTTTTTTTCTTGTTATAGCGTTTCCTAGTGTGCTGATAGCTGGTTTTACARATCGTGTTTCGTTTTATTAAAAATTCTAAAGCTTCATCAAAGACGTGGCATCAAAGTTTCTTATAGTAATCAACGTGATCAAATAATCTCATCTATAATAATGAGAAAAAATTTCAAATAATGTAATTTGATTATATCTCAATGCCAGAAATTCTGAAATCATCATATAGGTAGGTATTACCGTCAGTCTGCGTAATTACAAATTTCATTGCAACGAAAAACAATTTAATCATGATATAAAAATGTATTATGTCATACAGCAGGAATGTAAGAAAACATTTTTTTATGTCTTTAATATAAAATAATTTAAAAATAAACATACTTTTTAAAAGTTTTTGATAACTCGACATTTTTATTGAGTCGAATTTTTTTTCCCCTCGAACTTCGAGTTACCGAAGTCGGCTGTATAATAATATTTTTGAAAACACTTTGATGTCGTTGGATGATTAATTTTAATAAAGGCAACTATTCAAAAAAAGTTATACTTAAATGATATTTGTTATTTTTTCATTTATAA